TATAATATACGTTCATGCACCTAGCGCCTTCTCTCGCTCGCTTATCGCTTACCTAGCCCGCCCAACTATCCTGACCCCCGCGGTGACCATCTCCGGCACGGAGGGTCAGTTGGTCACCTTGACCTGTGACGTCAGCCCTCTGGACACGCTGCTTGACCTGTACTGGACCAAGGACGGCGCGCGGCTGACCCCAGCGGGCTCTGGTCGCTACAGTGGGGGGTCTACCGTCCTTCCTAGCCTGACGATCAGCTCTCTTGTTCAGTCGGACACTGGGAGTTATGTGTGTTTGGCCAGCAACCCTTCTGGGACTTCGAGCGGGGACGTTATCTCTCTGACGGTTAATTGTGAGTGGTTGTTGGTGGTTATGGTGGTGGTGGTGTTGTTGTCGTCGTCATTATCGTTTGGCCAGCAACCCTTCTGGGACTTCGATCGGGATGTTATATCGCTGACGGTTAATCGTGAGTGGTTGTTGTTGTTGTTGTTGGTTGTTGTTGTTGTTGTTGTCGTCTTAATCATCATCATCATCATCGGCAGCAGCAGCAACAGCAGCAGTAGCATCAGCAGCAGCAGCAGCATTAAAATGAAAAACAAATTTTTAAAAATAGAAAGGAAGAAATTTCGATACTGATAATAAGTTAAAGAAATTCATTATAGTTCCAGAAACTAGCACTATAAACCTTTGTAGATTACAAAATCCCTAAGACACCAACAGATGTTCTTAGTGGCGTCGGTAGTCTAGTGGTTAGGCTACCGGACTCGCAATCGTGAAATTGTGGGTTCGGGGGTTCGAGCCTCAGCTCGGGCCGACGTTGTGTCCTTGGGAAAGGCACTTCACACGAATTTCCCATTTGGCTCGGTCCTATCGGAGACGGACATAAAACTAGGAAGTCCCGCCCCTAAATTACATAATAGTGTTGATAGGGGCGTTAAAACCATACCATTTCACCATTTTTTTTCAGTGGTGTTCTTCACTTCTCACAAATGTCATAAACTCTTCTCTTCTCTAGACAAGCCCCGCCTCACAGTCCAAAACCAGCCAATCACAACCTCAGAAGGCGCCACGATCGTTCTCGCATGTGACGTAGACGCCAGCCCAGCAATCACCAATTTCTATTGGACGAAAACTGGCCAGGGACAAATAAGCCCCGCCTCCAACCCGGGCAAATATTCTGGTGGCACGCTGACCAGTACTACGTTGTTGATTCTGTCTGCGGACAGCTTGGACAGTGGTCAGTATATCTGCGTGGCGGAGAACTCGGTGGGAACAACGTTCAGTCTTCAGACCAGTGTCACAGTTCAAGGTGAGTTGGCAATAACAGATAATAGCATTTGTATAGCGCAAATCCCCGCTCAACAGCAAGCTCTATTTGTTTTGATAATAATAGATAGCATTTGTATAGCGCAAATCTCCGCTCAACAGCAAGTGCTGTGTGTTTTTATAATAATGGATAGCATTTGTATAGCGCAAATTCCCGCTAAACGGAAGGCTCGATGCGCTTCAAAATCTATACTATTACCCCAGCAGACCTGAGAGCCTTCTGAAACAAACTCAACTTCCTGAGAAGCATACCGTGCAAGCAGCCATTTATAGGTGCTAAAACACTAACTTTGCTGACAGGGTCGTTCGCTGTCTATGGCAGGGTACCCATTTCCACCTGGGTGAAGTGAGGGAAATACGACGTGTAAAGTGCCTTTCCCAAGGACACAACGTCGGGCCCGCGGCTTGAACACCCGACCCCGCAACCTCACCATTAGGAGTCCGGTAGCCTAAGCGCTAGGCGGTTGACACGAGTTGACAACAACAGATTTGTGAGGCGGCGTGGTGAAATCAGACTCTCGTCAATTTTTGGGCATGTAGAGTTATTGGTATCATCTTAAAGCTTTTTCACTTGTCATAATTTGGATGGGAAAAAAATCCATTTATCTTGAATACAGGTCGAGATATTCGAGAAAGAAGGAGGTGGGGTCACCTGTTTTCAGAGGTAAAATTAGTGAGAAAGTGGCCCCCAAAAATTATTAATTTCCTCAACTTACGAGTCCGTGGTAACTGAAAATTTACAAATTTTTTTTTGCCTTTAATCAACGTTTTTCAGAAAAACCACACAGAAATGATTTCTTTAATTTACATGAAAGGTGTTGAAAACTTTTATTTGTATTTTCTGACCGAAAAATTATCAAGAGTCTCCCTGTCTGTTCTGCGTCATATTCAACAATGATGATGATGATGATGATGATGATGATGATGATGATGATGATGGTGATGATGATGATGACCTCAACGACCACGACAACAACAACAGCAGCAACAACAACAACAACAACAACAACAACAACAACAACAACAACAACAACAGCAACAATAACAACAACAACTCTATCCCCCAGCCCGTCCTGTGATCAGTGATCCGGCCCAGAACAATGTGTCCACCTCGGAGAACCAGACTGTGACCTTTCCCTGTGACGTTACACCACTTAGCGGACTGACCGACCTGTACTGGACCAGAGGTAACGGGAGGGCGGGAAACTTGACCTTGCTTAGGGCTCCCAGCGTCACATTTTCCCGTGTATTCACTTTAGTTGCCAAGCAGAATTTCTTTTGGACTGGTAGCGACAAAGTTGCTTTTGGACCAGTTACTGCAAAGTTTCCTTTAGATTAGCGACTACGTAATTACTTTTGGACTAATGACTACATGTTTATTTTTAGACTAACAGTTACAAAGTTACCTTTGGAATTGCGACTACATAGTTACTTTTGTGCCGGTAACGACAAAATTCCTTTGGTCCTTTTGGACTAGCGACTACAGGATTGCTTTTCGACTAGTGAAAGAATTGGTTCCTTTTGGGCCAGTAGTGTTTACGATTTCATTTGTTCTTTTATCTGTCCTTTTCTAAGGCTAGTTTCAATAAAAATGAGCCCTATCCTGAAAAATAGAAACATCTCAGTGACTACCCAAATGAAAGTCCTGAAATGCTATGTATTGTCTACCCTTCTATATGGCTGTGAATGCTGGGCAATCACTAAAGACAATGAAAATAAAATAGAAGCAACAGAAATATGGTTTCTTAGGAGACTGCTAAGAGTATCGTGGAAGGAAAAGAAATCAAATGAGGTAGTGCTTGATGAAGCCCACGTCGGACGCTCACTGTTCAAAACAATCAAGAAACGACGAATGCAGTTATTGGAACACCTGAATAGACATAAGAATTTTGAACATCTAGTTCTCAATGGCAAAATTGAAGGCAGACGAGGCAGGGGTAGGCCCAGAACAACCTACTTAGGGAACCTAAACAAATTGATAACAGGGAAAGATCGGGGAAACGTATATTTTTAGAGCATCCGAGCAAAGGAATGAAAGGAGAACCATGATCGCCGATGTCTGTCGCAGATCTGGCACTGGGTGATGATGATCTGTCCTTTTGACATGAAGCAATCTCCAAAAATACCATATCTCTGCTACTTGAGTTCTGTCTTCTATCTTCTTTTTTTCCCATGTTCATACCTCTTTCCCATACAGATCTACATTCACGAGCCATATCAGGCTTTTCAACTTTTCTAACTTTGAATTTTTTAGGTACCCCTCCGTCTATCCATTTTGTAGTACAGGTACCGTCTCTTATTTTGCCACGCCACTTCTACCCGTTGGTATCTTAGTGCACGTTCCATCCGCTGTTTTAGTTGATCAAGTTTCAAGTGCCGTAAAACTCTTACTAAAACTTTAAAATTACCACAGATAGGTGATGTTTCTGCGTCCAATTCTGTCACCCACGTTATCTTTGTCTGATTTTTTCACGATAACTAAAGTTCACTCTTCTAATCAGAGAAAATCTTAATAATCAAATTAACATAATAATTAAAAACCAACACTGCCCACTGACAGATGGTCAGCAGATCAACACAGGCTCGTCCAGTCGCTATAGCGGAGGGACTGTGACCACTCCCAGCTTGACCATCTCGTCTGTCCAGAGCGGAGACTCGGGGTCCTATGTGTGTGTGGCCACCAACAACTTCGGAACAGGGTCTGGTCCAGGGATAAATCTGGATGTAAACTGTGAGTAGAATGTTTTAAAGATTATTATTTTGTTGCTGTTGTTGTTGTTATTTTTGTTGTTGTTGTTGTTGTTGTTGTTGCTGTTGTTGTTGTTTTTGCTTTAGTTTTTGTTGCTTTTTGTTGTTGTTTCTTTCCTACCACTACGCTGTTTCCCTTATCTCTCCTCCTTCTTTCCTTTATATGTTACTCTCTAATAAACGTCTTATCTTCGATATTTACATAAACTCTTTGTATTGCAAGTTCTATAAAATTTTACTTAAACTAAACTATCTCTATTTCTTCTTTTCAGTACATGTTACTCTCTAGTAAACGTCTTATATTTAGCATTGACATAACTTCTTTGTGTTGCAAATGCCTTAAAACCCTTACTAGGACTAGGCTATATCTATTACTTCTTTTTTAGAACATCCTTGCTGAGAATGGGTGCTCTGCATGGCCAATTTGCGTTGCAAAAGAAGTAAAACGCTCGCAAAAAAAGCTCTTAAAAGCAGTTTTAAAAAACAACAAAAACTACAGCACTCTCTGTCATTTCTCCTCCCCCACAGACAAGCCCAGCCTCACTGTCCGGTCTACACCAATCATAGCCGCCGATGGTTCGACCGTCGCTCTCGCGTGTGACGTAGACGCCACCCCAGCAATCACCAATTTCTATTGGACCAAATCTGGCCAGGGATTAATAAGCTCCGCCTCCAACCCGAGCAAATATTCTGGCGGCACGCTGACCGGTACTACGTTGTTGATTCTGTCTGCGGACAGCTCAGACGATGGTCAGTACTTCTGTGTGGCGGAGAATTCTCGTGGCCTCACCGTGAGCCCTGGCATCAGCCTTTCAGTCTTAGGTGAGTAAGATTGTTTGTTGATTTGGTACAAAGATAGTTTTTAGGAATGTACGATCACATACACAGTAACACATATACATACCCATACCCATACCCATACCTATACACATACACATACACATACACTTACACTTACACTTACACAAACGCATACACATACACATACATCTATTATCTATTTGTGGTGGCCGAATTTTGCTATTCAAAAGGCTTTTTAATGGCTGCATCGATTGACATGCACTTTTCGCCAAAAGATTCTTTAAAATATTCTCCAGATCATGACGCCCTTCGTTTTTTCAGGTTTTAGACAGTTTTGCTGTCGAAAGCTAAATTTCTTTATTTGGCCGATCGCTTTTGTAGGCCGACGCTTCTGTCTCTGTAATTTTAGAAAATCCGCCAGCTTTGTTTATTTCAAGTCGTACTTCCGTTCGATACTATCGCGCGTTATCGCGCCATACTGAGCACTATTTTAAGTGTGCGACCCGTATAGATCCAGCGTCATATTTTCTTTTTTTACTTGGTGCTAAATTCAACTGTGATCCTTTCGTCTGATGCCCATCATTGCTTTTTTCTGGACTCCTTTGTCAAATTCCCTTTCTTGCTACTGGGAACAACGTCAACATGTCTTAGATTAGAATCTAGATCGAGATCTAGATAGCGCTTGAAAGTGCCGAAAATAAAACGACCTTCTGCAGTTGGAACCCCTTGCGCTACCTCGAAGGTCGAGGTAGTAGGCCAATGACTTTCAGTTAATGTTAATGTGCCGATCATCCCTTTCATCGAAAGGGGGCCCAGCTAGTATACTCTAACACATACATATACGCTTACCCATACACTTACACATACTCATACACATACACATACCCAGACCAATACACATACACACACATACACATACAGAAACACATAATATACATACACATACACCAGCAGCAGCAGCAGCAGCAGCAGCAGCAGTAGCAGTAGCAGTTACAGTAACAGTAGCAGTAGCAGTAGTAGTATTATAGTTGTGTTCTAGATGTCATTATGCGTCATCATTATTTGTGTTCCCTGTGTTCTTCACGTCACATACGTCATCCTTTCCTGTGCTCCCTGTGTCTGCAGCCACTCCCGTTATCGATGACCCAGCACAACCGGACGTGATCTTGAACGAAGGTCAATCGGTGACCGTACCATGCACCGTCACGCCACTGAATGGACTCACTGACCTCTACTGGACGAAGGGTAAGATGACCACTAGGAATCGATGTGGAGTTTTGCGGTTGATTGATAGTATTTTAATTAAGAGATTGATTCTATGGACATACTCCAGATTCCTCCTTTTTCATATTTCGAATAAAGTTTATATTTCCTTAGAACATATAGACATATAAACACATGCTGACAAAACAAATACATATAAACACACACACACACACAACACACACACACACACACACATACACATACACACACACACACACACACATACACACACACACACACACACACACACACACTTCTCGTGTACCAGATGGCCGGTGATGACTTCGGTGACCTTGTGGTTAGGCTACCGGACCCGTAATCGTGAGGTTGTAGGTTTGGGGGGTTCGAGCCTCAGCTCGGTCCGACGCTGTGTCCTTGGGAAAGGCACTTTACTTTACACGAATTTCCCATTTGGCTCTGTCCTTTCGGAGATGGACGTTTAACTTGGAGGTCCGGCCTCTTGAATAACTGAATAGTGTTGATAGGGGTATTACACTTAAACCATTTGTGAGGCAGCGTGGTGAAATCAGGCTCTCGTCAAAATAATCAAAGTGAAGAAAATTGTATTTTTCAGCAGGTTTGTGAATTTTTATAAAATTTTTGTTTTTTGGCTCAACACCTTTCATGGCCACTAAAGAACTCATTTCGGTGTGGATTTTTCTGAAAAACGTTGATTAAAGGTACACAAAAAAACTTTTTCAGTTACCATGGACTCTTAAGCTAGGGAAATAACTTATCTTTGGCAGCCATTTTCTCACTAATTTTACCTCTGAAAACAGATGACCCCCACCTCCTTCATTCGCAAATATCTCGACTTGTATTTAAGATTAAATGGATATTTTTCTCATCCAAATAAAGACAAGTGAACAAGCTCTAAGATAATACCAATAACTCTACATGCCCAAAAATTGACGAGAGCCTGATTCTATCACGCTGCCTCACATTTCTCATTTTCCCCAGATGGTCAGAGAATCGACCCCAGCTCGTCCAGTCGCTACAGCGGAGGGACAGTTACCACTCCCAGCTTGACCATCTCGTCTGTCCAGAGCGGAGACTCGGGCACCTATGTGTGTGTGGCCACCAACAACTTCGGAACAGGTTCTGGCGGGAATGTGAACCTCATCATTCCTTGTGAGTTAAATTGTTATTATAATGATATAACAATATAATTATATGGGTTGCATTATGGTGAAATCAGCATTTTGTCAAAAATAATTTGTCGAAGAAATCGACATTTTTATACCTGTTTGTCAATTTTTATCGAGTTTTGTTTGTTTGTTTTCGCCTGTTCATCAATAATTGCTATCGATGTTTGTTTGTTTTTGTGTGGTTGGTTGGTTGGTTGGTTGGTTGGTTGGTTGGTTGGTTGGTTGGTTGGTTGGTTTGTTTGTTTGTTGGTTGGTTGGTTAGTTAGTTGCTTGGTAGGATGATTGGTTCGTTGGGGGAAGTGGTCGGGTTTTTTTTACACCTACTTTATTTGACATCTTTTATCTTTGTTATTCTCTAAGTGTAAAGATTTTTTTCCCTCTTTTTTTGCGGGGGAGGGTGTGTCTTTATTCTCATAGATACTTTGTATAATGTCATTCCTTTTCTTCTCTTCCTCCTCCTCCTCAGACAAGCCCCGCCTCTCCGTGTCCACTGCACCAATCACATCAAGAGAGGGCGGGACAATCGTCCTCGCGTGTGACGTAGACGCCAGCCCAGCAATCACCAATTTCTATTGGACGAGAACTGCTCAAGGTCAAATAAACCCCGCCTCCAACCCGGGCAAATATTCTGGCGGCACACTGACCAGTACTACGTTGTTGATTCTGTCTGCGGACAGCTCAGACAGTGGTCAGTACTTCTGTGTGGCGGAGAATTCTGAAGGGATCTCATTCAGCCCACAGATCAATGTAACGGTGTTAGGTGAGTTAATATTGTTTTGCTGTTGTTGGTGTCGTAGTTGGTGGTGGGTGTGGTGGTGGTGGTGGAGGTATTGTTGTTGTTGGTGGTTGTTGTTGGTGGTTGTTGTTGGTGGTGGTGGTTGTGGTGGTTGTGGTGGTGGTTGTGGTTGTTGTTGTTGGTGGTGGTGGTGGTGATGGTTGTGTTGTTGTTGTTGGTGGTGGTGGTG